TTTTCCAACCCACTCGTAGGACCAAACATGGAATCTAATACAAATAGAACGGGGTTGGGGGGTAATGATGGAGAGGGAGAGGTCCCCAGGGACGAAGAGTTACCAGTCATGGCGGCAGCTGCTGTCGTGCTGCTGTTGAACAAATAAGGAGCAGGGCGAGCAACATCGAGAGGAGGCTGGAGCGTGACTCGACCTCTGGGTCCAGGGACTGCTCCGCTTCTCGAAAGAGGCTGTCTCTGCAATAGCCGCGACCGGGGCCCTCCGCCCCGGCAGCACGCTCGTCAGACTTAGGTTTGGCTCAGTGACGTCCGCCAGGGTGGGGGCACCAGCTGGGCCCCGGAGGACAATGGAAGCCTTAGCTTCGAGCGGGAGCGAGACAAGCGAGGTCGGAATGCTTGCGACCCGCGAACACCGGGGAACACGCCCGAAAGAAGGCGGTGAAGGAGGCCGACCTCCAAAAGCGCAAGGAGGCGGCAGGCGCGAAATTGGTCCAGGACATATTGAACCCCCGGGTGCCGGCACCCGTGAGGAGGAAAGCTGATCTGGAACAACGAGATCATCTGACGGCCGGGTTTAGGAAGACGTCTCTCGAGGACATTGGGCAGCAGGCCCTCGAGGCGGGCGATGTAATTTTTAAGACCGCGGTGAATAGCGGCCACCTATAAGGGCTACAAAAGACGCTCAAGGAATCGGCCGACAACCTCGTATGCGTCAGCCTCGAGGCAATAGAGAGGAATGAGAACACCTGCCTGGAGGACAAATATTTATTTTTGTGGAGGATTTTTCTGTTCGAAAAGTAGTTTAATATTAAATTTATTATCGTAGTGCTGCAATTTGCTAGGGCTAAGGTATTTCTTATGTTCTGCGTATATGTTATTTCTGAACTCATTGAAAAGCAAAAAATCACTTTTTATACTAATTAAATTTGTCCAATTTGCTTTGGAGTTATCGATCTGTGTATATCTATATCTTTGATACTTCATACAGTAGAAAATTATGTGTTCGACGGTTTCAGAATTGGTGCCGCACGCAGGACAAGTTTCCGTGTCTATTAATCCACGTTTGTGGAGCGAGTGTCTGATAAAGCTATATCCTGTTAAAATATATACGCACAATCTGGGCGAATGAAACCACGGCCTTTCCTTGTGGAAAGAAACATCTTTCAAGAAGTGATATATATCACGACCATGTACGTTATCACTCTTTTTTTTATCCGTAATTGCATTTTCTATTAAGTGGCATTTTGTGTCATATGACATTTCCGAATCTTCGTCTACGAAATTGAAACGCAGCCCATTCCAACTAATAGTTAAGTTCTTTTTTAGTCTTCTTTTAAGTGCGTACTGGACTATGACCAAATCGATGGGGAGACAACCAGACACTATCTACATAGCTGCAGTTGATGTTGTACGGCAAGTTTTGATTAAAACTATTAGAATATTGCGCTGCAGCGAATTTAGGTGTCTTAGAGCGCCAGTTGAACTGGCTTTGTCATACCAGATTAATGAGCCGTACGTAATAATTTGTAAGCAAACAGCCTTGTAAACGATGTTTAAGATCGGTCTTTTGATACCCCATGTTTCATTAGCGCAGCGCTTGAGCGACATGATATATTTAAATAATTTTTCTCTTAACCTTTTTACATGATCCATGAAATTCATTTTTGAGTCGATGATGAGTCCTAAATATTTGCATTGCGACGATATTTTTATTATGTTCTGATTGACTTTTATACTATTTTGTCGTCGGGTATCTAGTTTTCCCCTGAGCAACACAGCCACAGTTTTTTTATCCGATATTAATTTATTCTGATCACACCAGCCTTTGAAGGTGTCCATAGCTCGATTTCCCAGGCATTCCAGTTCGGCTCTGGAATTACCTTTAATTAAGAAAACAATATCATCTGCATATGCGATGGTCTGTACACTATCCGGATTAAAGTCCGTTGAAAAACTATTTAGGAACTGGTTTAAAAACCAATTCCATGCGGCCGGCCCTATAATAGAGCCTTGAGAGTAGCCCCGTTGCACTTGGTGTATAAAGTATTGATGGTTGCTTTTGATCTGGATTTTTCTGTCCGAAAAGTAGTTTAATATTAAATTTATTATCGTAGTGCTGCAATTTGCTAGGGCCAGCCGAACAATTATTGCGGGCCACCATGAAAAGTCGAATGCTCCGACCATATCAACGAAAATGGCCAAGACATATTTTTTTGATGTGCCTTGCAACTTTTTCTTCAAGTTTTAATAGGACATCCTCTGTGCTCAAACCTTTCTTGGATACCATATTGGTTCTTGCTGGCAAGATTTAAATCATAACTTGATTGGATTCTATTCACAATGACTCTTTCAAAAACTTTACTAATTACCTGTAAGAGAGCGATAGATCTAAAAGAATTCACAAGCTGTAGATCATCTTCCAAATCTTTTGGAATAACTAAAACGTTAGCAATTTTCCACTGATTTGGTATTATAGAATCTCGGAGACACCTGTTGAAGAGCAAGACCATTATTTCTGGTCTTAGCTTCCATACTCGTTTAATTATTTCGGGAGGGAAACCGTCCGGACCCGGGGCCTTTCCGCACTTCATTCTTTTAATTGCATTATTTATTTCCTATTCTGTAATGTCCGGTTCTACATTGTGGTTTTTATATAAGTTGTTCAATTCTCTGATGTTATGTATATGATTTTCAGACGTAATGCAGTCAGCAGGAGAAATCTTTTTACATAATGCTTCGACAGATTCCTGCCAAGTGTTGTGTTTTTAAACTTATTACGAATTAGTTTATGCAGAACCCCCCAGGGTTCCCGGTTCCCCTCCTCGGAAACAAACTTTTTCCAGGAAGCAGTTTTTTGTTTTTTAATTTCATTGACGTATTTATTACGATGAATTCGGTACTGGTCTCGGTTCTCCACAAATGCCGAGTCAAGATGCATTCTTCGTGCTCTATACGAAAGGTTTCACGCATTCTACTAAGGTCCACCATGGGACAGCCTTCCCAACATTCCTCTTTCTGGGAATTGACTTGGAGCAGATATTATCCAGAGCCTGATATA